TAGCTCAAGGGGTTGTGAGTTCTACTTCACTAAAGGTCTTCAGATACTAGTTGTGGTAACAGAGTGAATAGAAGGGGAAGAGGTCATAGGAAGAGGAAGAGTAGAAAGAATAAATGAGGAAGAAGAATTAGCATTTGCATAGTGCTTTAAGGTTTGCAGTGATTTACAAATGTTATCTCATTTTATCTTTGCAACAATCTTAAGAGGTAGGTGCTATTATTGCCCAGGGTTACACAGCTACTAGGTATATGAAACAGGATTTGAACTTGAGTCTTCCTTACTCCAGGTCCAGTACTCTATCCACTGTGCCACCTAAGGGGCCATAGATGTAGTCTGATCACCATTGTAAAAAATGATATAGAGGGCATTCCTGTTTAGATGTAGTGCAGATACTGTAGTTCTGTAAGGCAGGTTTACCTCCTCAAAACTATTGCCATTTTACGACTCTTCATTTGAGAGATAGAATTCAGTGAAGAGTAAGGAAAGTTGAATGAATATTAATTTTATACAAGCCTGAATCACACTAGTCTCTTTAATTTTGAATTTGATTCATTTCAGATTTGAAGGTCACTATGAGGCAGGTTTGTGTGGCATTAGGCTTAATAAGATCCCCACTAGGCATCCTCCAGATTGTTAAAGATCTTGTGCTAGGATAGAACTACTGAACCCTCACCTCCACTAAGATGAAGTACCCTACAGTAAAGAGTCACAATTCACCTCAGCCTAAGATGATACCGTCAGAGTCACATCAGAATTGAGGTCTGCTTCAGAGGTGGGGGGGGGACATCATTCATCTGGCAGATTTGTCTTCTCTTTGGTGTTTGCCCACACCCCCATTTGCTACTCCATAGACAGTTTTGCCTGTTTCTCCCCAGAGCCAACATTTACCGTACTGGTGAAAACCAGATTTTTTAGAAAAGGAAAATATACACTCCCTTTCCTTCTCCCTGAGGTACAAAAAGAAAAGAGTTTCGAATGACCAATGAGGAAAGTTTTACTTTATTTCTGCCAGCAGATATTATCAGTAAGAGGTTTTAGTGTCTGGAGAAAATCATGGCTTATGAATAGTTTAATTTTAAAAGCCCATTACCAAGATAAAGACTGTTTATCTATATTCTGTTGAGTTTATTTCTGCGTTGCAAAGATGTAGAGTTTCCATCCTCTAAATCAATAAGAAGATTAAAATATCCAGCTTGCAAATTAAACAATGAATATTTACTTTTCTGTGTGAATGGATTATTAATTTTGTTATAAAGTCATTAAGGTAGATAAATGGTGGCTCTCTTTTTTATATGTGTCACCACTGAATTCTGATAGTATGGTTAAGAATACTTTTGTGCTCCTTAAAGTTCCTCAAAGACAATAACATTTAAATGTGCTTTGCTATGGCTTTTAGATGCTGCTGCCTTCAGCTTTACAAGCCCTAAGAATAGTCTCAATCTCAGGGAGATTTAAATATATATGTCCTTGTTGTATATGATCAAACAAGGTCATAGTTCATCCAATATGGTCATTTTACCCAGCCTCACAATGGATTCCCCTAAAGTACCAAAGCTACACCAATCATTAAGATGGGTGAAGTGAACGTTTCAGCTTTCTTGTGAACTGATTTACTCCAGGTGTATAGAAACCATCTTAGTCATTTATACTAGATCATAACGAGTTGATAGCAGATAACATTCTGTAATGCTTTAGGATTTCTATCCCCAAATAATAAAGCATTACTTGATGACTGTCTGTGGGGGGGGGAAAGCTTTGAAATAGGATTTTATAAGGGACTTCTATTTTAGTGTTCTTCAAGAAAAAGTTGAGAGGGATATAGTGTTCAGGAATGGATTCCATAATTGGCTTGTATTTCCCATGTTGTGTATCTCTCAAGAACTTTACATGATCTAAAGGGCACATATAAAGTGAGTAATCCCAATCATGACCACTTAAGAAATGTAATTCTTAGTTATGTAGGAGGTTAGATCTTATCCCATGGGACAGTGTTAAAAGCATTGTGCAACTATTGATTGGCTTTACATATTAAATCTGCACTTTCGGATGGGAAAACCAGTCTTCCTCCATAGCTCTACAAAATGAAACCTTTCATAGACAGTCCTGCTTCACTTTTTACCTCTCCATTCAAGCACTACTTACTTAGCTGTCAGAGAGATTGTTATGGTCAATTAGATTTGGCTGACGGTGCATTCCCTAGTCATTCTTTTCTCTGCCTCTCAGAAGAACCTGAGACGAGATGTTATCCATTTGAGCCCTGCACTTTCCATTTTGTATTTGCTCCTCCTTTTGTATATTCCATGTTTTCTATGAGGTATTACGACTATTTCTCTTTGTTCCCAAACTCTGTCCCTGGGTAAGTACAGCGAACTAATTTTATGTACTTCAAAGAAATACTGTGAATTTGTCATAGGTTAATGTAAGTAGTAAGAAAATTTGGATTCATGTCCCAGCTGTACCACTTATTATGTGACCTTAAGTAAGTCACTAAACTTTCCTTAATCTCAGGAAAATGGAAATGATGATATTTGCTCAAAACTTACTTATTAATGAGTTTGTTCTCAGACTCTTAGGTTTTATCACTCTTATGGGAGTTGCGTCACCTACAAATAGTTTCTAATCCTAACATATTCCTACCCATCTAACCATCTTTATTAGCTATTTTACCATTGCAGAAGAGGGAATGGGGAAGGTACCTCACTGTATATAGTCACAGGATACCCCATCCTTGCCCTCAGGAAGATTTCTGACTACCCTCTTCTTAGCACAAGGCATCCTGGACACCACATCTTTCTTACTGGCAGCACTGCAAATGTTATGAGCTTTAGGTCATTAGCTGATTTTAATGCCATTTGAAGCCTTTATGAAATAGGATTAATGCTTTAGGCAAGTGCTAGGTTACTAAAGAGACTGCTCAGAGTTCTTTCCATAGATTATTTATTCATTCAAATCTCCTTATGAGCCTGGTGCCACATCAACAGGGTAGTTGGTTGTTAACCTCCTTTTATGTCTTTCTAGTGTTTAAAGTCATGATATCTTGCATCTTCATTTGGTACTTAGAGCAATTCTGTGAGGAAGGTAGGATAGATTTTTGTCATAATAGGTTTTAGAAATGGAAGAGAACTTGGAGTCCATTTGATCCAACATCCTCATTTTATAGAGGAGAAAACAGGCCCAGAGAGATAAAGTGATTTGTCTTTTCTTGTGAACCTATTAACTACAGGTATATAGAAATCGTCTTATTTGTACTAGGTCATAATGGGTTGGCATCAGATAATGTTTTGTAATGGTTTAAGGTTTCTATTGCTTGATTACTTGGTAACTGTCTGTGACAAAAAAAATTTTGAAGTATGATTTTATAAGTGACTTCTAATTTACTATTTTTCACGGTAAATTTGAGAGGGACATAGTATCCAGGAATAGATTGTACAGTTGGCTTGTACTTCCTATGTTGTGTATCTCTCAGGAGCCTTTATGTAATCTAAAGGGCACATACAATGTGAGTAATCCCAATAATGACCACTTAAGGAATGCAATTCTTAGTTGTGTGGGAGGTTATATCTTATCCCATGGGATGGTATTAAAAGCATTGTGTAACTATCAGTTGGCTTTATATATTAAATCTCCCCCTTTGGATGGGAAAATCATATTCCTATAAAATGAAACCTTTCATAAACTGCCCTGCTTCAACCCCCCCCCCCATTCAAGCAATACTTACTTAGCTGTCAGAGAAATTGTTATGGTCAATTTGACTCAGCTGATGGTGCACTACCCAGCCACTCTTTTCTCCACCTATCCGAAGGAATGAGACAAAATGTTATCCATTTGAGCCCTGGACTTTCCATTTTGTATTATGCATATTTCTCTTTGTACCCAAACTCTGTCCCTGAGTGAGTACAGTGGGTCGATTTTCTGTGCCTCAAAGAAATGCTGTGGTTTTGTCATAGGTTAATGTGAGTAGGAAGAAAACTTGGCTTCATGTCCCAGCTCTACCACTTATTATGTGACTTTAACTGAGTCACTAAACTTTACTTACTGTTGAAGGAAATGGTAAACTATTCAGAAACAACAAAACTTTCCTTAATCTCAAGAAAATGTAGAGGATGATACTTGTTCAGCTGACCCAAAAGGTTGTTCTAAGGATAAATGAGATTAAATAATTGCTTGGCAATAAGTGTTATATGTATGCATTTGTTTTCTCAGTAGTAGTTGACTGGATACATATTATTTTACAGGCACTGTTCCAGGTATTAAGAATACAAAGACTAAAATAAAACAGCCCCTGCCCTTCAAAAGCTTATATTCTATTGGGAGGAGGGGCAAAACATAGATATAGATACAGATATAGATAGATAGATAGATAGATAGATAGATAGATAGATAGATAGATAGATAGATAGATAGATAGATAGATAGTTTGAGGTATCACCTGTACAAAGCCAAGGAGCTCAACTATCCTTGCCATCTACCCTACAGCTGACCTTCTGTTGTATGTTTTCTTCCCAAGTTAGAGTGTGAGCTTCTAGAAATTTTTTTTTCTATTTTTATAGCCAATATTTAGAATGTCTTGACACATAGTGTGTATTAAATACTTTTCCATCTTTAATTTTCTTCGTATGTCAATTATAATTTCTAATCGGTGGCATTCAGAAGGGGAAAAAACCAGTTAACTGAAAACTGTGAGTATTATTTGTGATCAGCAAAAAAAAAAAAACAAAACGCGGATATAACTGTTATTGACTCCGGGTTATTTTGGGACTTTTGGTTGCGTACTAAATTACTAAAAACATTTGATGTTTTCACTTATGTCAGGAAAAATAAAACATGATAAGACGTTTCCAACAATACTAATGGGATTTGTCTTTGTTTATCTGAGGATTTGTTATTTGAGTGTTTATATTCAAGATAGCTGATATTTTCTTTATATTCTCTTTTATTTCATAAGATAGCTTTTTAATCAAAGTTTTGATCAATTGTGTTTTTCTATCTTTTCTTTTCAGGCTCAGAAGTCCTGGATAGAAAGAGCATTTTATAAGCGAGAATGTGTTCACATCATACCCAGCACCAAAGACCCCCATAGGTAATCTTACTTCCCTCTATTCCTGTCTAGAAAATGAAATTATAATTATGGAATTGTGACTATAAAGACAATCACTGTGGTTTACAAGGGAACCACTGTCGAATTAAAGATGGGTTTGTAGTTGGAGCTCTCTGACTAGATTTCATCTAACTCTTCAACATAATACATGTCAACTGTACCCTGAAAGGCTATTCAAAAGAGCAAGTATACTTCCTTCAAGGAAGGCATTAACAGTATGTATGAATATAGGAGATATTTTGTTATTAAGAGGACTATTTCTCCCTTCCAAAAAAATTTTTTTTTTAAATTGAACCAGCATTCTGTTGTACAGAAGGGGAATTTCTTGACAGATATCCTAATCAGGATCTCATTCCAGCCCATTTTGAATATCTTCTCGAATTTCATATAGACTAACAGTAAGAAATGAGGTCAAGAGATCATTTTGGGCCCAGTAGTATATTGTGTCTGGGAATGTTTTCCCCAGGTATAATTTTCTGTGACATTTTCATGATGATAGGAGTGTGTTGTGCTGTTGTTTTCTTTTTAATGTCTCGTGAATGATTCTCTCATTTTCTCTGCAAGATGTCCTAGGCCTGTGGATTTTTATTCTCAGTATTAGATATTTGGCAGTGAATGTCAGTTTGGAAGAGACAAGATAGCCTTTGAGTCACATATTAGTAAGATACCTTATTTTAAATGTGCAAGTTAAAATATTTCATTTATTACTATACAGCATTAAGGGAAATTAGATGGATGGGGGTGGGGGTTGGGGAATAAGAGAGTAGAGAGATGCTTAGTTTATAAATGTTTATCCCTGAAGAACAAAGCCCATAGGTAAAAGTAAAAAGTGGTGAAGTATATAATAGATTAGTCAAGGTTAATGTGGGGAAGGTGTTTAATTTCTCTGCCTTAGTTTCCTAAACTATAAAGTGGGAATAATACACCTGAACTCCATATTTATGAAAGGCTTTGTTAGCTGCGAGACTTATGAATATAAATTTAAAATAAGGGAAAATGGGAAATAATTAATTGATAGCTAGCTCATTGAATCTCTCTTTTCTTCCCAATTTTTATCTATGACTAAGCTATGGTATGCTTCACTTTTTAAAAAAGCAAAAACTTTTTAAATTGAGCTTTGCTCTTCAGGTTTCCAAAAGACAGCAGTCTGACAGGGTCTCCTACATATTTCAAATATATCCAGCAAGTTTTATAACATGCGCTTCCCAAGAAAGTGAGATCATTTGGGGTTTTTTTTCCTGTGTCATAGGTGTTGCTGTGGGCGTCTGATAGGCCAGCATGTCGGACTCACACCAAGTATCTCCGTTATTCAGAATGAGAAAAATGAAAGCCGCCTCTCTCGAAATGACATCCAGTCTGAGAAATGGTCCATCAGCAAGCACACCCAGCTCAGCCCTACAGATGCTTTTGGGACAATTGAGTTCCAAGGAGGAGGCCACTCCAATAAAGCCATGGTAATCTAAAAGTAGCCATACCTACTAAATAATGCTTCTATACTATCTATTCTCTACCTTTCTACCCCCCCACACACTTCTTACCTTTGATATTTGCTAATATGTTTATTTACAAAGTCTCAAGAATCAAGAAATCTTGATTTCTTATCTTGGTAATGAATGATAATTAACAGCAGATCTTTATAAAGAGTTTAAAGCTTTACAAAGTGATTTTCTCCCAACAACCTTGTGGGATAGGTAGAGCAAATGTTCTGATTCACATTTTACATATGGGGAAACTGAGACTCAGAGAGGACCAGTGGCTTGGAATCATAGGTTTAGTGAACCTTAGTGTTTGTCTACCAGGGGTGAGGAATCTGAAGCCTCAAGCCCATATGTGGCCCTCTAGGTCCCCAAGTATGATCCTCCAACTCTGCCTCCTACTCTGTCAGTCAAAGGGCCACACTTGAGGACTTTGAGGACCACATGTGGCCTCAAAGATGCAGGTTTCCCACCCTAATAGTGCAATGCTTTCCTTTTACAGATGTGAGGAAACTGAGAATAAGTGAAGTGACTGTCTCAAGGTCACTCAGAAGGGACATGATAGAGTCAAGATTGAAATTCGTGTCTTGTGACATGAGAGATCAAGTATTGTCACTGCAGTATGTCTACATGTTCAGAGTCACGCTTCTAGTGGCAATGTTGGAATTGGAACCCTGGTCTTCCAACTCTAAGAACAGTGTTCTTGACACTACCCTATAGTGAAGATAAGGATATAAGGAACTAAGGATATTGGAATACGAGACTCTAAGAGTGAAAATTCCAATTCTTCACCTAGTTCATTGACATTTCACTCAAGACAGGTGATAAATGAATATGACCAATCACACCTGTCCCTCTCCTAATGCTCCTTCACAGTAGTTCTGCTCAGTATTTCCCAGCAGGGTTTGCCATATGAAAAATTGCTTTTTTTTCCTGGAAGGGAAGCTTTAAGAGACATCTAGTCCTTTTTGAAGGATCATAACTACTCTACTGGAGCTTAAATCATGAACCCAGCTGTTACCATTTGGTAGATTGTGCTTTCAGAAAACTATACCCTGCTGCATTGGAAAGCAGAAATATGCTAGTCTGGCAATATGTTTCATCTGTGACCTCGATCACTGGGTTTGTTTCTGGGTGTATTTTTCTAAATGACATTGTACTTAGGTACTTTAAAGTTTTCTGATTTTGGAGAAAAACAGAATTACGTCTTTGCAAAAGCAGATCACAAAGTAAAGAGTGAATCATGATGCACTAGTATGTTATGAAAATGGGTATCACACTATTGCTTTTACCATCATCTCTGTGACATTTCACTGAAGTAGTCACAAAGATGGAGGATTTAGAGATAATCTAGTCCTTGTTGTTCAGTCATTGTTCAGTCATGTCCGACTCTTCATGATCCCACTTGGGGTTTTCTTGGCAAAGATACTGGAGTGATTTGTCATTTCCATCTCCAGCTCATTTTATAGATAAGGAAACTGAGGCAAACAAGATTAAGTTAATTGCTCCGGGTCGCACGTGAGTTAGTGTCTGAGGCTAGACTTGAACTTAGGTCTTCCAGACTCCAGGCCCAGTGCTCTATCCAGTATACCACCAAGCTCCCTCATCTAGCCTACCCCCCTCATTTTATAACTAAGAAAACTGAGGCCCAGAAAGACTCACTTCGCCATACAGCCCTCTGCTACCTAATCCAGGGTTCTCCCTCTATAATATAATTTAATTCATTGTCCTCCACTGCAAATGTTAACTCCCCTGTTTGGCATTTAAGTCTCTTCACAATCTGGCCCCTTCCTACCTTCTAGTCCTTTTATACTTTATGTTGTTTTGTTCAGTTGTGTCTGATTCTTCACAGCCGTATTTGGGATTTTCTTGGCAGAAATACTAGGGTAGTTTGTCATTTCCTCCTCCAACTAATTTTACAATTGAGGAAACTGAGGCAAACAGGGTTAAGTGACTTACCCGAGGTCACACATCTAGTACATGTCTGAGATCAGATTTGAACTAGGAAGATGAGTCTTCCTGTTTCTAGGCCCAGTGCCCTGTCCACTGTGCTATCTGGTTGCCTTCACACTTCATATCTTTCCTTATAATCTGTGATCCAGTCACAGTGGTCTATTTATTTGCTGTTCTTTACTTTTATTTCCCATCTCTGTACCTTTGCACTGACTGTCTTCCATTCCTAGAACTCATCTCCTCTTCATCTCCACTTCCCAGAAACCTTCATTTACCTTTAAAATCCCATTCAAGTACTGCCTCCCCTGCCCTCTCCAGTTGCTATTTAGAATTTATTTGAGTAGTAGAGCAGATAGTAGAGAGATAGGCAGTAGAGAGCTCTGTGACTTTGAGAGAATTGCTTCATATCTATTTTGTACATATTCTGTCTACTTATGTGTGTGCATGCTGTTTCCCTTATTTGACTATAAACTCCGTGAAGGCAGGGATTTTTTCCCCAGTTTTGTCTTTGTATCTTCAGCGCTTGATGCAGGGCTTGGAATATGGTAAGTGCTTAGTATATTTGTTGATTGATTGACATGACAGAAGACTGAGCTCTTTCAGTCTGTCACAGGAAGGATCACTGTGGTTAAAATTTACTCTAATTCATCTTTGCCAAATCCTGCAGAGCTAAAGAGTCAGTTAATTAGGCTTTGTACATGGAGCACCAAGTAGAGTGAACATTTATCAGTTGTCTAGTTCAATGAAAGATGTGTTATTGGCCTCCTCCCCTAAAAAAGTAGGCCAAGAGACACCCATTCCTTCATCCTTATTTATAATATAAAACAGGTTTTAACTCTACTCAGCTCTCCTAGAATAGTGCATTAAAAGGAAGTGTTATAATCATTTTTCATAAGCAGACTCCCAAGGGTGGGAACTAGCTAACACAGCAATTTTTGAATACACTTAGTGTAAGGTGACTCATGCATCAGCTTCATAGGGACAGTGTTAGATAGGCACTGTCATCTTTCACCTCCCCCAGAATAAATGCCTGCTCTGTGCCAAATACAGTACCATGAGCATAGGAGGCTCATGATAAATATTTTTGATGAATGATGTTGCCAAGTTAAGGTCTCTCCTTTATGAGCTCTGACTCTAAAGTAACGATGGGCTTTTCTTTTAAACAAATATTCCAGAATTAATGTGCTCATGTAACATGTCTCAATGTTCTCCTGCTTTGGGAGGTGCTAAACTGGCTGGGTTTGGGTTTTTTTTTTTGCTTTAAATAGTTTTTTATTTTTCCCCAATTACATATCAAGAACATTTTTAGCATTCATTTTTACAAGATTTTGGGTTCCAAATTTTTCTCCCTCCCCTCCTCCCCTTCCCTCTTCTCAAAATGGTAGGCAGTTTGATATCATTTATACATGTGCTATCATGTACAATGTGCTTCCATATTCATCACAGTTGTGGAAGAAAAAATAGATCAAAAAGGGGAAAAATATGAGAAATAGTAAAGTGGAAAAATATGCTTCAATCTGCATTCAAAGTCCATCGGTTCTTTATTTGGATATAGATAGCATTTTCCTTTGTGAGTCCTTTGTATTTGTCTTGGATCATTGTGTTGCTGAGAAGAGCAGAGTCATTCATAGTTGGTCGTCTCACATTGTTGCTGATACTATCTACAATGTTTTCCTGGTTCTGCTCATTTCACTTTTGTATCAGTTTGTACAGGTCCTTCCAGGTTTTTTCTGAAATCTACCTGTTCTTCTTTTCCTATTTCACAATAACATTCCATTACATTCATATACCACAGCTTGTTTGGCCATTCTCCAATTGATGGGCATCCCCTCAATTCCCAATATTTTTCTGCCATGAAAAAGGCTGCTATAAATATTTTTGCACATGTAAGTCCTTTTCCCTTTCTTACCCTGCCTAGTAGTGGTATTGCTGGATCAAAGTTTGCACAGTTTGGTTGCCCTTTGGGCATAGTTCCAAATTGTTCCCCAGAATGGTTGGATCAGTTCACAACTCCACCAGCTGTTCATCAATGTCCCAATTTTCCTACATCCTCTCCAATATTTATCATTTTCCTTTTTGTCATATTAGCCAATCTTATTGGTATAAGATGATATTTTAGAGTTGTTTTAATTTGCGTTTCTCTAATCGAAATTGATTTAGAGCGCTTCATATGCCTATAGATATCTTCTATTTCTTCATCTGAAAACTGCCTGTTCATATAATTTGACCATTTGTCAATTGGAGAATGGCTTATATTCTTATAAATTCAGTTCTCTATATATTTGAGTAATGAGGCCTTTATCAGGGACACTTCCCAGCTTTCTGCTTTCCTTCTAATCTTGGTTGCATTGGTTTTGTTTGTACAAAAGCTTTTCAATGTAATATGATCAAAATTATCTATTTTACATTTTGTAATGCTTTCTTTTTTTTTTTACTTTTGCATTTTCTTTTTTTTATTAATTTATTTTGATTTATCAACAATCACTTCCATATGCTTTTGAGTTGAAAATTTTTCTCCCCCTTCTTCCTCCCCACCCTCCCCAAGACGTGCACAATCTGATATACGCTTTACAATTGTAATGCTTTCTATCTCTTGTTTGGTCATGAATTCTTCCCCTCTTCATAGATATGATAGGTAGATGATTCCTTGCTCTTCTAATTGGATTGTAGTTTCCATCCTTATCTTTTTAATTAGGTTTATTTTTGCTTTTACTTTGTCTGCAATCAGGATTCCTACCCCTGGTTTTTTTTTTTCACATCAGCTGAAGCATCATAGATTCCACTCCAGCCCCTTACTTTACTTGGTGTGTGTTTCTCTGCTTCAAGCGTATGTCTTATAAGCAACGTATTGTAGGAGCCTGGTTTTTGATCCACTCCGCTATCCACTTCCATTTTATGGGAGAGTTCATCCCATTCACAATCACAATTATGATTACTACCTGTATTTTTCCCTCCATCCTATTCTTTTCCTGTTTGTCCTCTCTCTCCTCTCATTCTTTCCCACTTCACCAGTGTTTTGCTTCTGT